AGCTTAGTGTTAGCTTAGCCGTAGCTTAGCTTTAGCTTAGCTTTAGCTTAGCTTCAGCCTAGCTTTAGCTTAACTTTAGCTTAGCTTTAGCTTAGCTTTACTGTCACTACTAATGCTGCTTTCCTGGGGGCTCCAACTCCTAGGTAGGGTCGCACTGGGACAATTTTAATATATATATATATATATATATATAAGAACTCCTGCGATTGAAGCGCCAATTGTAGCTCCTCGTCGATGGCCGGTATCGCAGCGCCATCAGAATCGCCTGGCTTGCATCCGTCGGAGCGCGCAGGTGCCCCCGACATCTCGTAGTCCGAATCGGCGGATGATTGGCGCTCCTCGATGATCTCCACGCAAGCAAGTTGCCCCGCGATCGGAATGGCCAGCCAATCGGCGAGATCGATCTCGCCGCGGCCAACCAACACCTCCCCGCAGAGCTCCTCGGCGCACCTCTCGAGGGACTGGCCGGCGTTCACGTATCTCGCAGACGTGAAATGCGCGGCAGCAGCGGGGGCATCTTCGGGCGCGGCAGAAAATGGTTCGACATCAGGATACTAAATGTCAAATCCGGTTTGAGCCAAATGCATCGACGGCCCTCCCCCCCCTGCCTCCCGGGTATTCACGGCGAGAATGCTGGGTGCTATGGCAGATATCGCATTCCATAGTTTTTCCGTTGGCATCCTTCGGTCTACCCCGACGTCACTTACCTTTTTTCCTGAGGTTTGTCTACGGCCTCTGCCCCCCCCCCCAGGGAGATTTCCTCATGCTGTGGCCCCGCAATGGAGGTCAAGAATGTTAGCAGGCCTCTACCATGCAGCCGTTGTTGTTTACCCTTGCCTCTACCCTTGCCCTTTGACCTATGCGCGCGTCGGACCGCGCGTCGCGCCCATTGAACTGGCGTCTCCCTAAAACGTCTCCACCGGCGCGTCCGTTTCTGATAGCCCAATAATATCCATTGTGCTTGTTGTTCCACAGTGAGGTGCGCAGGCATTTGAAAAAAAAATCCAGTGCGTCCCTGCCTAGGAGTTGGAAGCCCTAGGAAAGCAGCATTAGTAGTAACAGTAACGCTAAGCTAAAGCTAAGCTAAAGCTAAGCTGAAGCTAAGCTAAAGCTAGGCTAAAGCTAAGCTAAAGCTAAGCCACAGCTAAGCCAACGTCAAGCTAAAGCTCAGCTAAAGCTAAGCTAAAGCTAAGCTAAAGCTAAGCTAAAGCTAAGCTAAAGCTAAGCTAAAGCTAAGCTAAAGCTAAGCTAAAGGCTAAGCTAAACGCTAAGCTAAACGCTAAGCGAAACGCTAAGCTAAAGCTAAGCTGCAGCTAAGCTAAAGCTAAGGTAAAGCTAAGCTAAAGCTAAGGTAAAGCTAAGCTAAAACTAATATAAAGCTAAGCTACACCTAAGCTCAGGCTAAGCTAAAGCTAAGCTAAAGCTAAGCTAAAGACTAAGCTAAACGCTAAGCGAAAAGCTAAGCGAAACGCTAAGCTAAAGCTAAGCTACAGCTAAGCTAAATCTAAGCTACAGCTAAGCTCAAGCTAAGCTAAAGCTAAGCTGAAGCTAAGCTACAGCTAAGCTCGAGCGAAGCTAAAGCTAAGCTGAAGCTAAGCTAAAGCTAAGCTAAAGGCGACGCTAAACGCCAAGCGAAAAGCTAAGCGAAACGCTAAGCTAAAGCTAAGCTGCAGCTAAGCTAAGGTTAAGCTAAAGCTAAAGCTAAAGCTAGAGCTAAAGCTCCCAGGGGACTGGTGGGAACCGCGGGGCGGGGGCTGGGGGAACCGCCCGGGGCGATTTCCATTGCCCGGCCACTTTAAGCTAAGAGAGTAAGGGCCCTTCCAGGCAGAGCCAAGGTAGGGGCAAATTCTCCCAGTGCGACCCTACCTAGGAGTTGGAGCCCCTAAGAAAGCAGCATTAGTAGCAACAGTAAAGCTAAGCTAAAGCTAAGCTAAAGCTAAAGCTGAGCTACAGCTAAGCTGAAGCTACGCTAAAGCTAAGCTAAAGCTAAGCTAAAGCTAAGCTAAAGCTAAGCGAAAGCTGAGGTAAAGCTGAGGTAAAGCTAACCTAAGGCTAAGGTAAAGCTGAGGTTAAGCTAAGCTATAGCTAAGCTAAAGCTAAGCTAAAGCTAAGGTAAAGCTGAGGTAAAGCTTAGCTAGAGGTAAAGCTTAGCTAAAGCTAAGCTAAAGCTAAGCTCAAGCTGAGGTAAAGCTAAGCTAAAGCTAAGCTTAAGCTAAGGTAAAGCTAAGCTGAAGCTAAGCTAACATTAAGCTAAAGCTAAGCTGAAGCTAAGCTGAAGCTAAGCTAAAGATAAGCTGAAGCTATGCGAAAACTAAGCTAAAGCTAAGCTAAAGCTAAGCTAAAGCTAAGCTAAAGCTAGGCTAAAGCTAAGCTAAAGCTAAGCTAAAGCGAAGCCAACACTACAGCTAAAGCTACAGCTAAAGCTAAAGCTGATTCTAAAACTAAGCTGCAGCTAAGCCCAAGCTAAGGTAACACTAAACTAAGGTTAAGCTAAAGCTAAGATATAGGCTAAGCTATAAGCTAAGCTAAAGCAAAGCTAAAGCAAAGCTAAAGTTAAAACTAAAGCTAACGCTAAAGCTAAAGCTAAAGCTAAAGCTAAGCTAAACTAGGCTAGGCAAAGCTCAGCTAAGTGAAGCTAAGATGAGATAAGCGAAGCTAAGCTAAGCTAAGCTAAGCTAGGCGAAAGCTAAGCTAAACTAAAATGAAATAAGCTAAGCTAAGCTAAGCTAAGGTAAGTTAAGCTAAGCTAAGCTAAGCTAAGCTTAGCTAAGCGTAGCTAAGCTTAGCTAAGCTAAGCTGGGTGAACCCAGGGGGCGCGACTGGGGGAACCGCGGGGCGGGGACTGGGGGAACCGCCCAGGGCGATTTCCACTGCCCGGCCTCTTTAAGCTAAGAGAGTAAGAACCCTTTCTAGGCAGAGCCTAGGTAGGGAAAAAACCTCCAGGTTTCCAACGCCTTCATCTGACGAGGTGTCGGCGTCGGTTCCCGAGTCAAAGTCGGACTCTGCGGGGTGCCCCGCCGAGCCCACTAAGGCAATGGCCTGTGTAGGGGCCGCCGTTGCCGACGGTCCCCGACATTGATCCCGGGAGTCTTGCGGTCCCGAGGGCTGGCCACCTTGTTGGCTTGATCAAGTGGTGGCCTCGTTTGGTTGTGGATCGTTGTTCTAGGTGGTACTGGCGGGCCGCCCGGCGTGCGTGTCACTGTGAAAGACATCGGTGCGATGGCCGCGATTAAGCACGCCACCAATGTTACCAAGGGTTCGCTCAGCAATATGGGCGTACGATCTCGTGCGCTCCAGTAGGGAGTCAAGTTGTTGCTGAGTCCTTGGCGTTTGGTGGTTCAGTGATCGTAGTAGCTGTTGTGCACGCGAAGCACCGACACCTAGGGCCCTGAACAGTATGATTGTCAGGATTTGGAAATTTGGGATGTTAAACCCCGCAGCTGCAGCTTCAAAGCGTGTGATTCCGAAACGCGCTAGCGTCTGGTCGATCCGTTCTCCCGCATGAACGAGAAAATCAATGAGAACCGCCCCCGAGTTCAGGTTTTTCAACTTCAAGATTCTCGAACTTAGTGCTGAGGAAAATATTATATAGGTAACCCCACCGGTGTAGCGTCCACCAATGCTCACTCCAAAGATGCTCACAGCTGGGGGAAGTCTCATGGAGATGGTCCATGCGAGACCTCCAAGGCCACGCTATAGAGCAGCGGCCTGTTGGGAGGGAGTCATGGTGCCTGTGGTCATGTTGATCCAGGCATGTGCCTCGCGAGCGAATTCGCGGAAAGGTACGTTACCGGCAGGGTCCAAGTGGGTGCTGGTAGCGCGCGTGTCGTCTGCACCGCGTTGCATGTGTCCAACAGCACATCCGATGGCGACCCAGAGGAGTGCAAAGATAGTGTGGCTGTTGTTTGTGAGGTGACGTTACCGTCAGTCTGACTGGAGGTGCAGACGGCACGATGTCATAACGCATGCTGCCATGCATAATAATACCTTCGAAGAAATTGCAAATTGCCAGTGGTGGGTGGACTTTAGGAGTGTAGTAGCGCATGGATGTAGGGCTCAAGGAGATAGAGCCCTCTGCGTGAACAGAAACTTCGGTGCAAGTGTCCTTGCGATTGCCATGGTCGCCTCCGTGTAGAGCCACTGCGCCCTGATGGTCCACCATATCAGTTGTCCGCCATTTAGCGCCGTGGATAGCAAAGAATAGAGCTACAGCTGGCCACCAACGGCCAGCTCCGCTACCAAGTTTCAAGTGAAGTGTTCGGCCCAAGCACATACTACGCCTTAAGCGTAGTATCCGTCCAACCCTGTTGTATCGTGGTAGCGATAGAGTAAGAGGTAGGAGATGGCCGCGTGAGCGGCAAAGGGACATCCCAAGGGATTGTTTTCCGTATCGATGTCAGATAGTGCGCCGCAGAACGGCACAGTCAAATAGGCGGCCGGTCGCTTGAGCCCAAGCGGCCGCGGACAATCGCTCGATACCTCTCGCCTTTGCCCTTCCTCCTTCAGAGTCTGGGGCCCTCTGGGCCTCGTGAGGGGTGCTCTGGAAGCCATTTGGGCTACCCCGAGAATCCTTGGGGCACCTTGCACTTCTTGCAACACCCGCACATCACCCCCGCAAACGAGAGGTTCCGGCACAACCTGCGCGGGCAGGGGCGGTGGCCCTGGTGCACCTAGCCCGGTCGGGCGTGCTTCAGTCGAGAGCTTTCGGCACCATGGGACTTGTAAATTACCTATGTCGCCAAGCCGACTTATGGGAAACTTATAAATGGCTTAGTAAGAAGTAAATAAAAGCTTTTACGTCCACATTCGACTTGTTAAATCACCCGACCACCCTCGTCCTTCTCGACACCCGGAGTCAAGGACGCAGACGCAAGAAGACAAACGTCGGGTGTCGCTAGAAGTGCCCCTGGCCCAGGGTGCCTCCAAGAGCAGGATTTCCAAGGAGGCCCCCACGGCCTCCAGAGCGCAATCCCGGGAACTTCCCCCCGCGGGCGAGCCGCCTTCCGGCGCTTCCCTCGCCGGCACGCACGGCTGAGCCGGGGCGGCCGACGGCCTCGGGGGCGGCGGGCTGCTCCGGGCTGGGCCCCCCGGCCTGGGCGGCGGCGGCCGCGGCAGCCCGGCCTGAAGCGCCTGGGTGGGCGGTGCCCTGCTCCTCCTCCTCCTGCTCCTGCTCGTCCTCCTCTTCCTGTTTTTCTTCTCCTCTTCTCTCCTCCTCCTCCTCCTCCTCCTCCTCCTCCTCCTCCTCCTCCACGTCCTCCACCTACTCTTCGTCCTCCACCTCCTCCTCCTCCTCCTCCTCCTCCTCCTCCTCCTCCTCCTCCTCCTCCTCTGCCTCCTCCTCCTCTGCCTCCTCCTCCACCTCCTCCTCCTATTTCTCCTCCACGTCCTCCCTCTCCCCTTCTTCCTGTTCTGTCCCTCATCCCCTCCTCTTCCTCCTTCCTCCTCTTCCTCCCTCCTCCTGTTTCTCCTCCTCCTCCTCCTGCTCCTCCTCATCTTCCTCCTCCTTCTCCTCCTCCCGTGGTCCTCAGTCTTGCCTGCGCCCTCAGTCCTCCCCAGACCATCGACGATACGATTGTTTGAACCCCATCGTCTTTACTCGATTTCTGCCTCTGTGGGACTGTCATCGGACGTCAGGGCCATCAACAAGTTGTCTGGTGCGAAAAACTGCAGCAGGGGAAGGGGTCCAGACATCTGGGGTCGCGCATTGACAACATCACATCATCGGATGCCTGAGTCCTGCTCTTCATCATCCCGGGACGCTGTTCAGTCTTGCCGCCTTGCATGCGTCCTCCCGCCCAAGTCAGCGAGGTCGAGCAAGCGGTGTGAAGTCCCTCCTCTTCTTCCTCCTTCCCCTCTGACCTGTCATCATCGTCATCATCACCGTTCGTCGCCGTCGTCGTTCGTCGTCGTGTCGCTGGCAGTATGCTGCCCCTCCTCGACGAGCGAGCGCGTCTGGTCCGCGTGCTCGGTGGCCATGTCATGCTGCTGCAGCTGCCTCCCGAAACCGTCACTCATCTTGCCCTGGCAGCGCACCAGCCGAACATGTGCCTGCTCTCTCGCCCTCTCTTGTCTCTGTGTTCCCCCATCGTTCTCTCTCCCTCTCTCTCTATGTCTTCCCCCTCTCGTACTTTTTTTTGTTTCTCTCTCTCTCTCTCTCGCTCGCTCTCTCGTCGTCGGCACCGTGATTGCCTCTCCCGTCGCATGAGAAAGAGGGAGAGGAGGAGCAGTAGCAGACGCAAGCGGCAGCAGAAGGAGGAACATTGGTGACTGGGGGACGAGGAGCAGTAAAAGGAGGAGGGGTTGGAGGAACAACAAAATATAGTGAGGATGTGAAGAAGAGGAGGACCAGAGGAGGAGGAGGAGGAGGAGGAGGAAGCGGAGGTGGATGAGGGGCAGGGGGAGGATCAGGAGGAGAGGGATGCGGTGGAGAAGGAGGAGGAGGAGGAGGAGCAAAAGGAGTTATGGAGTTGACTCCTACAGGTATTTAGAGCCCCACAATATGGGGAAACTATGTCTTTCGGCGGCCTCATTGAAGGACTGGGCCCCACTAGTAGGGGGTAACTACTTATCCTTGTTCCGCGGCACCCGTCGCGCAACAACGACGACGGCAGCTACTACTACTACTACTACTACTACTACTACTACTACTACTACTACTACTGCTACTACTCTACTACTACTACTACTACTACTACTACTACTACTACTACTACTACTACTACTACTACTACTACTACTACTACTACTACTACTACTACTACTACTACTACTACTACTACTACTACTACTACTACTACTACTACTACTACTACTACTACTACTACTACTACTACTACTACTACTACTACTACTACTAACTACTACTACTACTACTACTACTACGCTACTACTACTACTACTACTACTACTACTACTACTACTACTACTACTACTACTACTACTACTACTACTACTACTACTACTACTACTACTACTACTACTACTACTACTACTACTACTACTACTACTACTACTACTACTTACTACTACTACTACTACTACTACTTACTACTTACTACTTACTACTTACTACTACTACTACTACTACTACTACTACTACTACTACTACTACTACTACTACTACTACTACCTACTACTACTACTACTACTACTACTACTACTACTACTACTACTACTACTACTACTACTACTACTACTACTACTACTACTACTAATGCCTCATGAGGAGGAGGAAAAGGAGGAGGGAGGAGGAGAAGGAGGAGGCTCTAGGACCAGTCCGATTCACCGCCGAGAGGAAATGGGGGGACCCAAAACTGAAGACCTCCTGGGATTACGGATATTGCGACTGTGTCGGTTCCTAAATGATGCTATCGAGCATCGCGTCTGGAGGACGAGGAGGAGGGGAAGGAGGAGGATAAGGAGGAGCAGCAGCACGAGGAGATGGAGGAGGAGGAGGCTGAGGCGGAGATGCAGGCAGAGAAAGGTGGGAGGACAAGTGGTCGGATAACCCCCCGCCACCCGCTTCCAAAACATGGCTCCAACATGCGCGCCGCCTGCACCGCGGCCACTGAGCTGTTTGTTTGACCGCCCCGGGACATGACGCGGGCCCCCAGACGCCGAAAACCGAGGAGCAGCATCCGCAGACCAACTTCTCGATCTCCAAGGTTTGGGATTGGGAGTCAAAAGCCGACCCTGGACCTACCCTGCGGTGTGATCTGACCTTACATTTCGAGGGGGGATTCGCCCTCTGCGACGCGAGGCCCACGACGCCCCCCAATACATAACCATCGATCTTCAGACCTCCATCCTCGATTTCCCTTCCCCCCCTCCCCCTTTTTCCTCCCCATCCTCCTCCTCCTCCTCCTTCCTCCTCCTCATTCCTCCTCCACTTCCTTCTTTCTCTTCCTCATGCGCGCTACCCTTCCTCCCTCCTCCCCCCTATTCGCCCCTGCTCCCCCTGCTCCTACCCCTCCCCATCCTCCTCATTCGCACTCTTCCTGCTCCCCCTCCTCATCCTCCTCCCTTCCTCCTCTCTCTATACCCCTACCCCTCCCTCTCCCGGCTATCCTCGATGATCGGGCTTCCGACGCGATTTGTTCGATCCCCCCACGTCAGAACCGCCATCAATGTCACATATCAGACGTCTTCAGGCTTTGAGAGTGGGGCCCCCTAAATCCCAACTCTTTCCCCAGGGCTGGCTTTTGATATTGATTGTTTTGTTGACAGGTCCAGCAGGGGGGCACAGGGGCCGAATACTGCAGAACATCTCCGTCTAGCTATGTTTCAAGACGTTCGATGTCATGGTTGATTCGGTTCCCGAGCCCGAACGGAGCCGCCTACTGAAGGCCGGTCGGGGCATCGGCGTCGCCGTTCGGAAGCCCTCGCCGAGCATCCAGCTGCTGGATTGGCCCTTGGCCGTGCGGGGGGCGAAGAAAAAACAAATGGTAAGGGCCCAGTTCGCCCACAGAGTCAGAAGGGGCAAGTACCTTTGGAGGCAATGCTTTTGAGGTCTTCGAGAGAACGAGTAAAGGCTAGTCAGCCCGATTATGGGGGCCATCAAACCGAATGAAAACCGACCCACCCCAGAATTAGTAAAGACGACTGAAGCCAGATAGCGTCAGATTATGTAAGCGGCACTGGCACAGTTTAGGACGATTTCTTCGACTGTCGACAGACGACAACTGATGTTAAATTCAATCTCCCAGGAATTACCACCGAGCTTGGGGCTGGCGGGGCGGAAGCCGTCGACGTCCAGGAAGTCGAACATGCTCTAGAGGCAGCCCTCTGCGTTTAGCGTCAGTAGGTGGAGGAGGAACCGAACCTCCGACGTCGTTATGTTTCCAGAACTTGGATCCATGGAGGGCTTGACTTCCCCAGGATCGCAGTCACCTCGAGCAAATGTCTGACGGTCCTGAAGGCGCCTGAAGGTCGTAAACCGAAAAAAACAATAGTTATGATTTTTGTTCAGGATGCGCAAAGAGTGGGAGGAGGGAGACACGGTGAAGCCGTCGACGTCCAGGAAGCCGAAAGTGCTCTAGAGGCCGCCCTCTGTATCGAGCGTCTGGAAGTGAAGGGGAGGGTCTTTCAGAGGCCAGGTGTGAATTGATGCCCTTTGACTGGCCACACTTTCCTGTAGGATGTATACTTTTCCTATTATCGCCGTCACCCTTCTCTTCTCCCCCTGACGCTCACCTTACTGTCCTCGACCATCTGCTATCCTACAGGCCTCCCAAATGGAGTCCGAGTAGATGGGGTCAAGAGATCGCGCCGGCATCGCCGATGCATTGACGATGCATCGGTGACATCGGCGTGGAGAAGATCGGGATCCTCCGACCCCATCTACTCTGGCCTCATCTGGGAGGCCTAGATTCATGACCTCCTTTTCCCGCACACAATGTCTTTGACGTGCTCAGGCGCCGCGGACATCGTACGCCCACGTTTGGGGCAAGTCGAAAGGAGAGAGGAAGGGCTACATTCGGGGGATCCGCTCAGGGGTGCGGAGACGTTGAGCCAGACTCGGCGATGCACCGCCGATAGATCCGCGATAGGCCCCTGGTAGCGAAGCCGCACGATCCTGGGCGGGGGGGGGGGGGCGCCGGGCTCCACATCGGCGATCAATAAGCGAACGAGGGCCGATGCATCCCCCACTGAGCCTACGGTGGGGGCGTAGATTAAGGACCGGGCCCAGGAGGCTGCAAACCCTGGAGGATTCCTTATGTGATGAGGGCGGCAGTGATGTCCATGTCCAAGCCTGCATTGGAGTTCCACCGGCCTCCAGACCTTGGATTCCTCATCTGAGGGCTCCTTCTACAATGCCCCACTGTCCGTAGCAACTTTGGCTCAAGGCCATGGAGCGCGCCCGACGACCGCGAGTCGACCGCGGCGCGTTGAGCGCGAGGGGCTACGAGCTTCGGGCCAGGAGTGCGCAGTCTTGATCGAGCGTGCTCGAGGGCGGCGGCGCGCGAGTCGCGGCGGAGGGATGGGGCCCCCCGCGCGGACTGCTGCTGCTGCTCCTTGGGCTCGCGGCGCTGGCGGCGGCAAGGGCGCCTTTACTGGTTCTGCCGCTGTGGGCAGTGGTCTTTCTGCACGAGGGCCAAGTGCTTCGGGCGCCAGGCTTCAGCGCCGCCCTGGGCCCGCGTCTTCGGAGGAGCCGAGACAGCGGGGCCCGCCCCACCCGAGCCAGACGCCGAGGGCTTCGCGGCGGCTGGCAAGGGCAAGCGCGCGCGGCGCAAGGCCAGGGCCGCGGCTGCAGCCTGGTCAGGCAGCCCAGCAGGAAGCGGCCGCGGGTCTGGCGGAAGCAGCAGCCCACCCAGCAGTGGCGGAGGCAGCTCGCGGCAGAGCTCCAGAGTCTCGGACCTTCGCCCACCTGGAGGCCAGCCCCCGCGTGGATGCAGGGGCCGATGCCTTCCTCAACGAGCAGCTGGCCGCGCTTCGTGCCCAGCGGGAGGAGGCGGCCGCGGAGCAAGCTCGGGACGAGGAGGCGGAGCTCTCCCCCGCTGCCCGCCTTCGCAGGGCTGCCAACTCGGCCAGCAAGGCAGAACGCAAGGCGGCGGCAGCTCGCAGGGCGCTTGAGGCTGCTGATCAGGCGGTGGCTTCGGCGGAGCAGGCGGTGCAGGCTGCTGGAGGCCAGCTGGCAGAGGCAGAGGGGCGCCGTGCTGGGGCGCGAGAGCGATTGGCAGAGCTCGAGTCAGCCGCGGCGGCTGCAAAATCGGAGCAGGAGCGGATGCAGGTCTCCGGGTCTGACCTGCAGGCTGTCCGCGGACTCTTCCTGCAGCTGCGCACGTTGCCCTCGGCGCACATGGCAGGGAACTTCGTGGACGCCTGGCGGTCGACCACGCAGCAGCTGGAGGCAGTCGAGGAGCGCTTCGCGGACCGCGGCAGCTCGCCTGGGGCGCCTACCAGGGAGCGCCGGTGCGACAGCTCCCCGACCGACGATGACGAGGACCCAGACATGGAGCCCATGGGAGAGCTTGCGCCTGCAGCTGAGCGCGGCCA